GCGCCGGGCTCTGCCGCCGGCCTTGCAGCCTCCCTGGCCTTTGTGGCAGCCACCGCTTGCTCAGCAACGCTGGTTTGCAGGCTCAGAAACAGCTTGGCTCAGAAAGGCCTGGCTCCTGGGGGGTTGTACTGGTGTCCCCATCAGCCCTGGGAACCCCAAATGGGGTGGTGAGGGGGAGCAGGTCCTGCCAGCCCCACCTCCAAGCATCTCTATCCATTAGCACTGTCTGACACTGTGGGGATCATGGGGGGGGCTGGAGGGGTTTCCAGCCACCCTCTTTCCGCAGCATTGCTCCCTCCCTGCCGTTGGTACCACCCCACCTTGAGCATCCACTTGCCGTGCCTGTTTCCCCATTTCAAAAGCAAGGCTGAGGCAGGTGGTTTGGGGGTGGGTGTTGTCAAGGGCTGCTTCTCCCCATTTTTGACAAGAGGCTCCCCACCTCCCTGTTTGTGGGCACAGCATGAGGGCTGTGGGGTTGGCAGCTGAAGGACAGGGAGATTAGCAGTGAGGCAGGAGTCAGTGTGCAAACAGCCTCCCCGTGCGCTGCCTTGCACTGTGCCGGCCATGGCACCCCCTTATCAGCTCCTGCACCAGGTACAGGGCTGCACCACGGCAGTGCCACAGCCCCTCGGGGTCCTGCATCTCCCAGCAACCAGATGGGTGACAGTGAGACAGGCACAGGGATCTGTTCCCCACCCCAGGTGACTCAGCCCCAGGGATGTAGGGTCTGGTCCTGCCCTATGGTGAGACTTTGGGGGAAGCTGCCAGAAAATGGTCTGCTTTTCTCCTTGCTGCACGGGAGAAGGTCCCAGTTCCACCATAGACTGGTGATCTCATGGTTGACGTCAGGGCTTTTATTCCTCTTTTACCTCGCTGAGAATGCAGGACCTTGGCACTCCCCAAAGCCTTCCTGGAGGTGTCTGAGCCAGTCACATCTGGCCTGGCCATACCCGCTCTGCCCCTTCATTTTGGCACTGCCTTGCAAAGCCACTTCCTGGCAAACAGCTTCTCACCATCACCCTGTGGGGTGGAGCAAGCTTGGGAGCGATGTCCATCCGTTTGGGGCTCCCAGCTTCGCTCCTTTTTCCAACCACGGGGCTTCTCCAGGACAGGGCAGGCTGTTTCTGTGGTGCTGAGTTTTGGCAATAACCCTGTAACCACTGGCTTGGTTCCTCCCTCTGCCTGCCGGAAAACTCGAAGGACCAGTTTCCCATCCCGGATTCAATTCCTCCCCATCACCCTTCCAGGCTCTGAGCTCCCCTGGCAGCTGCAGGGCCGCAGTGGGGCAGTGGGCGGGAGAAAAGCCAGGCTGGTGCAGCCTCCCCCATGTTCCTGCTGTGCTCCTACCCTCTGCTTCCCAATGATCAGGCACTGCTGGGGCTTCTGGAGACCCCATCCCACCCCCCCCCCAAGGACACACTCTAGCCCACTGTCCCCTCCCCACCAACCTGCGTGGGTGCCACCAGGAACCTCGTAACCCCAAAAGCTGACAGTTTTACCATCAGAGCACAAGGCCGAGAAATCCTTGGGGCATGTGGTAGCAAACCGAAACTTCCTCATTGCCTCCAGGAAGGCATCCTTGAACTGGAGGTGCCTGGGCAGCTGAGGGTGTGTGTGCCAGAGTGAGGGTGGTTCTTTTCCAGATGTGGGACAGGGTAGGGGAGAGCTGGGGGCAAAGTCTCCCTGGCAGTGCCCTGCTGCCTGCCCAAACCCAGGCTCCTGCTGCCCCTGGCCACGCACCCCTCAGTGCTCCCCAGCTGTGGGTTATGCCCTGGGAGCTGTGTGACATCTCTGGCCTTGTCCCACAGGCCACAGCCCCACCAGCCCCTATGTGATGGGGACCAGTCCGATGCCACCATATTCCTCCCTCCACCCCGCAGCAGCCTTGGACCTTCTCCCTGCATGAAACAGCCACTTTTGGAGCCCACACAGGGAATTTCCCCCTGCTTGAGGAGTGGGATGGTTCCAGGCTGAGCTGCTCCCTTGGGGGCAGTAAGGAAGGGACCAGTGCCTGGGTTGGAGGCTTGGCTGGGTGGAGTGGATCCAGGCCCCCTGGCACCCTCCTCCTGGGTGGTGTTTAGCATCCCCTTGGGCACAGGGTGGAGAAAATGGTGGGGCTGGAGCCCCTGGCCATATGGGGAAGGCAGATACCTGCAGAGCTGCCTTTCACCCCTGGCAGCCCCCTGGGTTGCTGACTCAAGCGTTGCCCCACCATGACAGGTGCTGTGCACGGGCCAAAGTCCCCAGAGATTTGCAGGGTGTGTTTGCCACTGGTATCACCTGCCCCAGGGCAAAAGGGGCAAAATCCTGCGTGGCAGAAGGGTGTGTGTTGGCAGGGAGCGGACAGCACTCAGCGCTTTATGGCACGAGCTGTGCCCTCCCTCCTGGGAATTAGCTTTGGTAGGGGACAGGGTTTTCATGAGAGGGAGGAGGAACCTCAGCTCTTCAGATTTGTGCTGATCGAAGGAGTAGATGGGAAGCAAAAGCAACCTTACGTGGCACCAGCTGCCCAAGGAGTGCCCGCTGTGGGGAATTTCCCCCTGCCCATCATAACAGCCTGGCCAGGATGTTCCTGGATCCGGGAGGAGAGGATATGCTCGGAGGACACGGGCTGGCCAGTGGAAGAAGTTGAAGCAAGGCACCCTTTCCCCGGCACAGCCTTCCTCCCCAGCTTCCCTTCCCCTCCACTTCCTCCTCCTCCCTGCCGCAGTGATAAACCACCCTGAGTGCCCACCCAGCCCAAAGGGTGCTCCCTGGGCAGCTCAGTGCCTGCGTTATTTGTAACTGAAGGGCTATTCAAAAGGCAGCAGGCAGGAGCTGACAACGAACCTGGCGTGTTAATCATTAACGCTGTGCCAGGCAGAACACAGCGTAATAACCACCACAGCAACAATCCTGGTACCCAGTTGAAGATTAATTTGCCGGCGGGTTTTGTTAGGTCCAGGCTGAGGAGGTGGCAGCTCCATGTGGGGATGTACAGCAGGGGATAGGGACAGCGACGGGCTGGGTGCAGGGGAGAGACCCCTTGCAGCCAGGACCAAGGGGAGGAGCTGAGCAAAGCCCCTTTCTGGGAGCGGTTTGGGCACCTCTTTATAAAGCAGAGGGTGCTGAAAATTGGGGATCAGCTCCCTGAGCTGCGATGCAGGTGGCTTGGGCACAGCGTCACTGTCTCCCTCACACGTAGGGATAGGGATGGGGCCAGCACAGCCTGGGTGCTGGCATCCCTCCAGGGCTGAGATCCTCCACTCGAGATGTCCATGTCTGTTATCCTGGAGGACGCTGGCTGGAGGGTGCTTCCCTCCACCTGTGGGGCACAGAGGGACCAATGGGCCATGGGAAGAGTCAACCTGGACCTTGTCTCCCACATCTCAGCCCATCATCGCAGCATGGGGACTCCCCACTCCTTTGGCAGAGATCTCTGCCAAACAAGAGTAGTGTATAAAAATAACCACGGCCAGAAATGATGCAAAATTCCCCTCCCCCCTGCAAGCTGAAAAGGTCAAGTTTCACGCCAAGGCTGTTTTGCTTTTGTTTAATTATCAGCCAGCTCCTGGGACGCGGAGCAGCCCAGACAGGTTCTCCTTTGTACGGCTGCACAAAGCCGGGGAGGCCGGGCTGCAGGGGGGCTGGGGGCCAGGTGGGACCCGGGAACCTGCAGCTCCTGGACACCCAGGGATGCTGCAGCACCTCTAGGTCAAGCCAGGAGGTGAGCGGGATGGGGAGCGACCCCACTGCCCTAAAAAGCTCCTTGGGACTGAGTTCCTTCAGATGGTGAACCTCCACACCACCATCACCTGGGAGAGGGGGTAAACCAAAGCTCTCCAGCAGCCGGACACAGGCAGTCCCCTTCAAGGGGGTTAACCTGCTTTTAGCATCACCCCTCTGTCTCAGCTCCTATACATGCAGCAGTTTGCAAAGACTGTCTCCTCGGGGTGGGAGAGATGTGGTGGATCTCAAACCTGAGCCCACATCACCCTGCAGGGCATCAGTCCCCAAAGCTGTGTCTGGTCCCAGGGAGGGGGTGGCAGCCGTGTAGGAAGCCCAGCCTGGCTGCAGGGATGAGGCAGGGGAGCAGGAGGTGGCTGGTATGGGATGCAGGTTGCGGCCGGTCCATGCTGGTGACCAATGCTCTCCTACAGCAGTTTCACTTGGGTCCTGTGGTCTCTGTCCCAGAAATGGGTGCACCCCCAGCCCTCCCAGGGCTCCTTGCCCCGTGGGGGCAGAAATTCAGAGGTATCTTGGGCTTTCCACAAAAGTCACCCATGCAGGGCTGACCCAGAGGCTCTGCAGCTATGTTTTTCTCATGGCAGGACCAAGCCCGCTCCTTGCTGGGCTTTGCTTCACCCATCCCTATGGGGAGGAGCAAGGGCTGCTGTGCTGCAGAGGTGATTTTGCTGGAGGTCCCTCCTGCAGCCCCTGCTTTTGCTCTGCCATCCCCAACCCCAGCCATGACAAAGCAGGGGCTGAACAGCTTAGCAGTAGTGGATGGGGCTGGCCCTGGTGTGGCACAACACCAATCATCAGGTCTCAGCTCCAGCGGTGGCTGGTTGATGGCAGGGGCCCAGTCCTCTCCAGCTATGATGTCCCTTCCTTCTGCTGTGACCTTGGGCAGTGGGTCTTCATTTCAAGGCCTCATTTCCCTGAAAGGAAAGAAACCCAAATCCCCCAGATAGGCCAGAAATGCAGCTGAGGCCCACAGGGCTCAGACTGTTTGATAGCAGACTGATAGCAGCCACTTCACCCTCCTGACCCCCAAGGGAACACGGAGCCAGGAGCAGAGGGCCACGGGTCTGTGTTTCTCCGGGAAGGGCAACTGGAGGTGCGGGGTGGAGCACAGGGGCTGATTACACCGAGCAAGAGAACCCAAGCAGCCAGTCAGAGTTTCCGTCCGTTGACGAAGTGAAGATAAAGGCGACAAAGCTTAAGGAGGAAACAGCTCACAAACCTGTCCCAGCCGCTCCGGCACTGCACAGCACGGGGGACCTCTGCTGGCGTGTGAGCCGCAAGGCAGGGGCCCGGGGCCACCGTTAGCCCAGGGCTAACTCTGCAGTGTTCCAGCACAGACCACACGGGTCTGTCCTTTTGAGGCAGGTAGCCACAGCCCTGAGCCATGTGCAAGGCCAGCCATGAAACACACGAGGCTCAACAGCTTTGCAATGTTTACTCTTGAAAAAATAATTTGATTCCGAAAGCGGCAAGCCCTGGGGATGCCCACGCACCCAGCTCCACCGTGGCCATGGCACCAGAGCCTTGCTGGAGGACAGAGAACGGCACCCGGCCTGTCCATGGTGGTGTGGGGAGAGGGGTGTGCGCAAAGCCCACCAGTCAAGTCCTGCTGGTGCTGAGAGCAGGGAGCGTGGCCCTCTGGTTGCTGCAGGGTGGGCAGCAGAGGAGAGGGGAATTCATGTTTAGCCACCCCCATCCGTAGGACCACCTTCCCCAGCCCCAGGAGGAGCCAGGAAGAAGCCAAGCCTGAGCCCTGCCAGAGAAGAAGGGAAAAGGAGTGCACTTAGTTTCAGGGAAACAGGGCCTTGGGACCAGAGATGCCAAGAAAAGGGCATCAAGGTGGAGAGCTGTGGGAGTTTTTCCAAAGCAGGGTATGGGGAGCGAGCTGCTTTCCCTGGGAAGAAGCTGAGTCCCTTTCCCACTGTGCTGAAAGGACCTGCTTCACCCCAAGGGCCAGCAGAGGCCACCTGCCCGCTGCGGGTGGCAGAGGAAGGCAAGGTTGAACCCAAGCCCAGTACCACAGTCTCAAGGGTGCCACCCTGCACCCTCTTGTTCCCCTCCTGCACCCATCCCAGCCCTGCTGCTGGGACAGGCATGCAAGGGAATGCGAGGGTCAGAGTCCCTGCAGTCACACTAGAGCTGCTCTGTGCCCACACAGGGCTCGTTTTAGCCAGAGGAGCAGGTTTCCCAGATGCACAACCATTCATCCCTGTGCTGGGCAAGGGAGGAAGGAGGAAAACAGAGCATGGAGCCAGAGGGACGAGAGACAAACCTCCCACGACTGTCCTCATGCAGGCTGGGAGCTGCCAGCTCTCCACACTGCTTCCCTGCTATCCTCCCCTTCCCACAAGCAATAAATAAATAAGTTAGTGTAGTGTAGACCCTTGATGCTCAGTTCACAGTGAGAAAATGAAGGGGAAGAGCAGCAAAACCTCCTCCCAAGGGCAAGCCAGACCATAGCATCCCTGCCCAAGGCTGAGGTCCTGGGCAGAGAACAGAGCTCTCGCTGCATGGATGAGACAGGGAGGTGCACTGAGCAAGGGGACCAGGACTGTCCCAGTGCAGGGGGGACATTAGTACCAAGTGGCTGGGGGCAGGAGGGGGCCCTGGGGTCCTTCCTAAGGCATGGTGCAGGGATAAGGACCCCCCTCCCTCTCCCTTTGCATGAGGATTGTACCACAGCAGCAGAACCAGGCTGCCCATCCTGGCTCACTCACAGCTTCCCTGCTAGCAATGTACCATGGTAAGGGTGGGGATTTGGGAAGACAAACCCCCTCTGCCTTCAGCAAGGGCTGGAATACCACAGGCAAGGACCGCAAGAGAGGGCAGCATCTCTCACTCCAGAGGACCCCGGTCCATCCTGCCCCTGCAGTTTGGGGGGTGCCCGCTGGCTGCTCCCATCTCACTCTGCAAGGCACTTTCACTCCCTCTCCCACGACTCGGGGGGCAGGGATGCTCCCCACAGAGATGGTGGGTGAGGATGGTCTGAGCCGCAGCACACAGCCCAGCCAGCCCACTTCCATCTACAGTAGTGTCCAGCTCCCAGAACTGCAGAGAAAGTAAAGGGGCACCTGACCACCCTTGTGCTGGGTGTGGAGTGTCCCCTGCGAGTTCAGCTCGTCTTCAGCATTCCCTTTTGCCTACGAGCTGGGCTGCACCAGTCGCTGTAGCCCAAGCAGCAAAGCCGGCGTGCAGAGAGATGTCCAACCCAGCAGCCAGTCTTCAAGGTGCATCCATTGTGCAGGAGACAGAAGAGATGCTGAAGATCCCCTCTTCACCATCGTGTTCACCACAGGGCACGGAGCCAGCCAGGCTAGAGTCAATAAATAACACCCAGCTGGTAGGCTGCAGCACTTGCACATGAGCATGCTGCCTTCTCAGGGCTTGGGGACCAAAAAGGGAAGCAGAGGTGTTTCTCAAGGTCCCCTCTAGCCCCCAACTGAGCATCTCCTTTCTCCAGCCTTGCCCAGCCAAGGGGCAACAGGAGCAGCGTTAGTAAAGAGTCTGTGTTAAAAAAAAAAAGTTCCTGGGATGAAGGGTGGTATATCTACAGGGAAGGATCCTGTCCCATGCGAGGGAGAGGGAGACCACAACAGTGGGCTGGAGGGAACCCAAGGTCTCATTTTGCAGCCTGAAATGGGAGTCCATGTCCAGTCACCAGCCTCCGAGAGCTGCTGCCAACTCTGTCTCTGCACCACAGGGTTCTCTGTCTTCCCCCAACCCCCTTTGCTTCCCAGCTGCCAGTTTCACGTCTGCTCTGCTGCAGCAACCGCTGGCACTGCTACTGCCCCCTCCTCCTTGGCAGGGGGCTCCATGTAGATTGGTGTCACCGACGAGGGCTTCTTGGACCTGCAAGTGAGGAGGCTGGATGGGAGCAGGCAGGGGTGGTGGTCCCTCTCTCAGGACCACAACTTTCAAAAGCACTGCCTGCCTCCCTGGCATGATCTCCTTCCCATTGGTACACCTTCGAGCCCTGGGCATGTGTCTTGCCCCACCTCTCACTGCACTTATTCAGAAGGGGGGTGGTAAGTCACAGGATTGGGCTGGGACAGAAGTGGATGATGCAGTGCCCTGGGCAGGGGACAGCACCATGAGGATGGAGGCAGGGGAATTACACAGTTGTGTTGGTGTGCCCCAGATACTCACGAGTAGGGGGAGGCAGGGACCCCCACCACCAGGAAGTGGTTCTTCTTGCGGAAGAGCCGCCACAGTCCCTTATGGTTCCCACGGACGTCCAGGTCCCAGATGTGGAGGCACTAGGATGGTGGGAGGAACAGGTATCAGAGCCTGGAGACAGACACCAGGGGCAGATGTCCTCTGGCAAGGAGAGAGCCATCACTCCTGCCCTCATTGAGACACGGAGAGAGGACAGCACAGGGCAGCATCCCTTCCAGTCACCAACAGTTAGAGAAGAGGAGGAATCTGCTCTCATCCCTGCCTCAGGACAGGGGAGTTGGCCATCATCTCCAGGTAAGTGATGGAATCATCCAGACAAGCTCAGACTCTGGGGTCCCACACAGGGAGGTTGTTGTTAAACTTTTTCTCCATGAAGCCACACATCTTGCCCTGGATGACCCAGTGCCTTTCATAAACACCAAAAGCTTAAATACCACTCAAGGGCAGCAAGAATCCATTTGCTGAGCTGCATCCAAGGCCATGGACAAACCCAAGAACAGCAGCCAGATGATGGCAAAGATTGGTGCATGGGTACAGATGGGCTATGTCAGCGGCCTCACCTTGGCAAGCTGAGTCCAGGTGGTGAAATCTGCCTCCTGCTCCATCCGGATGAACATGACATAGACCCTGCCCTCGGTGTCGGGCACAAAGGAGTCCTCACAGGGGTTCTTGCTGTGGTCCAAGACCTCAGCCTCACTGTGGAAACAGAACAGGGAGTGAGAGGGGACTCCACCTCCTCCCTGTTCCCACAGAAGGGCACTTCAGACAGGCAAGAGGTGGCTGGGGCTGCCAGGACCACCTCCACCCTTTCTTCTGTTGGTCTCCCAACCTCCCTGCAGGCACTTACCCCAGGAGCCGGTGAATTTCAGTCTCGTAGGCATCCTTCCTCAAGCTGTTGGAGGAGAACACAGAGATCAGGACAGTCAGTTGGACAGGCAGGGATCATCCCAAGATGATCCAAATTTAAGACTGCCCCAGTGTAACACAAAAAGGCAAGTTGAGGCCAACGAATGGAGCGCAGGGACTGCCACATATTGTGAAGGATGTGGCAGCAAAAATGTGACTCTTCAACATGTCCACCAGGAACACAGGGTAGCTGAACCCAACCACACAAAACCACTGCAAGCATTCCCCAGTGGAGGTCAGTGTGCTGGGGCTTGAGGCTACGGCTGTTGTTCCAGAAGGGAGACATCCCCAGCACAAGGTGAGAAGGGTCAGATCAAGCAGCTGTTTCATCCCACTCTCATTCTGAGCAGCACTCACCTCTCCACATTTTTAAGCTGGACATTCGGAACTGTGTTGAACTTGTGCTTCTTGAAGTAGGCTTCCTGGGAGGAAGACAGAGAGGAAGGAAGGAAAACAGGGACGAGTCAGCAGTACTTGGAGGTCACCTGAAGTATTCCCGCTACCTGGAGAGGTGGCCGAGTCAGAGCTCAGCGCCGGGATGGGACGTGGGGGCTAAGGGAGGTCACTCACATGAAAGTAGCCGTTCATGTTGAGCCCCACAATGCCGAAGTGGTAGGAGCGCGAGATGTCAGGGATGATGCACTCCCGGCCCTTCCGCTGTTCTGGCATCCGCATCCACATGTCCCAGTCCCAGAGCTGCGGAGAGGAAACCTGACATTCGCACTCAAGTTTGGCGACACGATTTGGTAGCGTGGCCATCCAGGGACCTTTCTGACTGCTTACATCAGCTCTAGCCCCTTTGGCCCCAGCCTGGCTGTGCTGTTCCAGCCAGCTCTGTGGCTGGTTACGTGGTCCTCTAGTTACTACTGTCTGTCCCAAATCCTTTCTGCATCCTTCCCAGTGGAAGCTCAGGAAGAGCCGGGGCCCCTCCAAGAGCAATACCCATAGGGACTGGGTGATGGTCAGAGACTGCTGATGGACAGAGATGGGGGTGCAGAAGGCAGGGTCCCTAAAAGGGTACTCACCTTCTCAGGGGTTGGCCACTTTGGCTCCAGCTCATCTTTGTACAGGCTCTTCCGGAGCACCCAGCCCAGGCCTGGCATGGACTCCACGCGGTACAGGAGTGAGGGGTCCTCAGCCGTGTGCTCATAGCCCTGAGATATTACAGGGAGCATTCAGCACCCTGAATGCACCCCTACCCTGCCAAAATAGGAGGCATTCTGCTCTGTGGAGACTTCCAGCACAGGGAGCAGGGGACAGCCACTGGGAAGCACATGGCAGGGACAAGATGGTTATTTTCAGGGGCACTTCTGAACGGTCCAGGGCTGGGGAGACAGACCCACCTAGGATGATGGTGGGACACACGCCTTGCTTTACAGAAGGAACTCAGACCCCAGCCTGACTTGGGAACAACACAGGGCAGAGGTGTTCCTGCTCCGCCATCCCTCCTGACCCACCTGGTCATTCCAAGCCGAGATGCAGTACAGGCTCTCGTCCTCCTCCAGAAGATGTATCGACTGGCTCAGAAAGCTGAGGAAAGAGTTGCCCGGTCCCTGGTCAAACATGCTTCCCCCAGGCAAACTAAGGCAAATTTTTTACCAAGGGATGAGCCACCATCAACTGCTGGGACTATTTAACTCAACTCTTGGGCTGAGATGACTGATGTTGGTGTGAAATCAGGGGAGGAGCACCTAAACAAGCTAAGCTGCACCTCACCATGGGGAGGGGATAACATTGTCTCCTACTCCATCCAAGTCCCTCTTCCTTAAAAAGAAAGAAGCCCCAGTAGACACTGTGCCTATCCTCTTGCTAAGGGGCAGTCTCAACTGTGTGCGTACAGAATGGAACAGTGTCCCCAAAAAGCAAATGAGGAAGAGATCCCAGACCCTGAAGTCACCCTGCACTGAGTGCCAGGACAGTGGATCCAAGACCTGACCTCTCTGCAGGCAGAGCTCAGTTATGGCTGTTGTCTGGGGACTGCTCTAGCCTCAGACAGGTGAGCTACAGCATGGCAGGGATCTGGTCTCTCCTAAGCAGCCAGAGAACTTCTAGGAAATGCCACACCCAAACAGGAACCCACAGCTTTACCTGAAGAAGTCAACAGAAATGTCAAGGTCTTCCTCCAGAACCACAACAAATTTAGCATCCTGTAGGGCAAGGAGAATGTCAGAAGGACAGAGAAGAACAGGACAGAGCAGAGACACCAAGCAGCATTCCCTGCCTGTGCTATTCCTTGCCCCACAGGACTGATTCAAGCTTCTGTGAGACAGGGGTCACAGATGCCACTCTCCTTGTGCTGCCTTGCCCCCACAGGTGAGCACTCAGACAGGGCACAGGCAGAGGTGTCACTCACCGGGAACAGGTTGAAGGTTGCAGTCAGACTGGCTTTGTAGTGCTACAAGAAAAGACAGATCATTGCCTGTGTTAGCATCAAGCTGGCACAAACTGGGGACTAAGCCTGCCTCTCTTAAATGCTATCCTAGGTCCCAGGAAATAACTCTCCCAGGATTTGGGAAAGGTCTCTCACCTGGGAAACTCTGGCATTTTTAATGCTGATGGGAGTGTGCTGGATTCCTGAGAGGCCAAACAGCTCCACAACATCCATTGGCTCCTGCAACAGGATGGCAGAAAGCTCATAAAATGTGTGAGTCTGGATATGTTCTTCTCACCTTCTGCCAGCATCAGCTCCCTGGGACAAGAATATGCCTGTGCCATATGCCCTGCGCGTGGCTGTCCTCTTGGGGACAAGCGAGGCTCCAAATGATGCTGTACTGTAGACCTTGCAGCAAGGAACTTACAAACCCTCTTGGCCCTTCAGCCCTTAAGTATTACCGTAAGTTTCTGTTACCCCTGCTAGCTTGCAGACCCAAAGTTGCATCCAAGGACATGCAAGAGGCCCCAGATTCCCAGTCCCCCATGGACAGTGAAGAAAGAAAACAGGTATAGCCAGAAACACCTACTAGCTGCTTAATGTCAAGACCACAATCAACTTCATTTTCTCTCAGTTGCCACAAAAGGGGACCTCTCTGACCAAGCACATCTGCACTGGGGTCAGAAGTAATCTGTATTTGGGCTGATGTATCTCTGCCTTGAGAAGATCCCACTGAGGCCTTCTCTACCCACTTACTGTCCTTCCCACCTCCAAGATACAAAAGAGAGGAGCAGCTACCGTTGCACCCTTTCCCTGGTATCCACCATGGCAGTGTGAGCATCCAGGCTGCCCCCTTGTAGCTGAGGGATGCTGCTCCAGTTGCCATGGCAATGGATGCTGCTATCTTTAACCACTCTGATGTGCTGCAGCAAGAGTCTGCATAAACAAACCAGCTCCCCCAGCCCCACAACCTGGCAGTAGTGGGAGCAGCCTGCAAGAGAACAAGTCTTTTCCCTTTCCCATCTCCATCACAAGGCAACCAGACAACATCTCATGGGCTGCTGCAGAGATGAGGGCTAGCAAGCCTGAAACCTCCTAAGATCCCACATGCCTGTCCCAGAGCACATCCTGCTGCCAGAGAGCCAAGGCTTGCAGTGGCATCCTCCAGAGCTTTATAAGGTTGAGCTGACAGGAAGGTTTTTGCCCTCTGAAGGGCCAGTTCTCTACCTGGCCTCAGCTTTCATTAGCCTTGTGGTAACAGACTGCTTTGGGTCTCTTCGCTTGTTACCAAGAGCGGAGTTAGACAGGCACAGCTGGACTGGTTTGTTTCACTTCAGACAAGGGAGCTGGACAGACAGTGTTACACTCAGAGCCTGCGCAAAGGGCTGGTGATACTCATCAAGCAAGAAAAGGTGACAGGGAGAGCCCAGCATAACCACCTCATTCCTGCACAGCAGCCCCTTTCTGACATGGGGATGTCAAACCTGGGCTTTGGGAAAGGACAAGGCAGCTTTATCCACACTCATGGCTTGGCTAAGTTGAATGACTTTGTACAGGAGTGAGGAGGAACAGTATGACCCACAGCAGGAGGAAGAGTGAAGGGGCTCATAGCCTGCCACCCACCAAAGACTGGGGAAGCACCACATCACCTTGCTAGAGGACCAAGAACCAGGTTACAGGGATGTCTGGGAGTGCTCTCACCTCATAGTACCCATCGATGAAAACTGTGATCATCTGAGGATTGACACCTTGAGCTGACAGCAAGGAGCGCAGCATCCTGTGGAGAGATTGATGGACCTAAGCACAGCCCCAGCAGGCCCAGGTCACTCAGCAGAGTGGTATGGATCCCCTGGGGTGGGAGAACAGGTGCATGGCAAGGGAACAGGACCTACTGCTCCTGGGCTCTTCCCTTTCTCATGGCCAAGGACCCCAGGATCTGTCCTGTCCAAGCAGGTCTACATTGCACCTCCAGGAGGAGGCTGGATCCTGCCAGCAGGACAAAGGGGAGGGTCTGGGCCTTGTGTGGTCTCATGGCACAGAGCAGAGAAGCCATAGAAGTCCTCTGGAAGTGCTTACCTGTACAGGTAGTTTGGACGGTTCCCTGCAATAACAGCTACAGGCACATCGAAGACTTTGTTGTCTTTGAGCTGGAAGAGAAAATGTGTGTGAGTGGGTCTTAGGAACGCCATGCCAACGAGAGCAGGATCCAAGGGTTAGGGACAGGCCCTGCTATTACACAGCTGAGCAGCACAGTCCTACCCCTTGGCCCACGACCACACCAATCCAACCAGAACTCCACTCAGCACTGCTGGAAACTCTGCCAGCTTTCCCTTTGCCCCACCTCAGACCCACCTCCCAAAACCCAGCTTGCATCCACCCAGACACCTTTGACCAAACCCTTCAGCATTGCGCCAAGGACAGCCCAAACACACAGGTGCTGTCTCCAAACGTACAGGCTCTGCTGCTCAGACTGAGATCCCTAGAGTCATCATAACCTGGCAGCTCAGGGCAGATGTAGGGCAAGGGAACTCCCCTTCCCAGGCATGACCTGACCCAGGTGTATTCATTCTACCTTTAGCAGGGGCTAAGAGCTTGCTCCAGAGCAGTTTTTCACCACTCAGCAAGTGCATGAGGACAGAGCTCTGCATCTGAGCTGGAAACCTAGATCAGTCCAGCCCTCTCTCCTGGAGCCTACCCCAAACACTCTGCCCCTACACTCACAGGATCAGGGTTGAACTCAATGGGCGTGGGGTCTTTGCAGCTGCAGACACTGCCATAACCTTCTACTTTGCTGCAGAACCTCTTCCGGCGGCGGTTCACGGGCCAATGGCACTCAGCATCTGGAGGCATCAAAGAGGTAAAAAAAAGACTGCTCATCCCCAGGACCTCACCTTGTGCACTGCCACACAGATGGCTCTCCCTGGGCTCAGCCATCGCCAAGTCAGCCCTTATTAATATGAAGAAGCAACACTTCTGGATGCCAGAAGGAGCATCCCCACCATATGGTCTCTCTGAGCAGCAGTGAGCCACGTTCAAGGCCAACAGTCAGAAGAGACTGGAACAGGCGTGGTTTGGAGAGGTGACAATTAGCTAGACCACATCCCCACTTCCCCATCCTCACCTTTCTCAACAACCATGCCTGGAATTACCACGGAAGCAGGAAGAAGGGAGGCTGGCCCCATTTTATAAGTTATCATACTGATCTTAAATAGCCTTGAATGCATCCTGGAATGTTGCTAACAGACCTATGGCTTTGACTCAAAAACACCAAGAGCAGCAGGCAGACACATCTCAGATACCTGACACCACAAGCGGATCTTGCTTCCTACCTTCCACAGACGTCAGATGAACTTCTGTCTTCAGCAGTACAGGGTCACCCCATGTCGACAGGGCAGGTGACTTGGCATGCTTCTCCCCGTACACTTCCCCTGGAGCAGGAACACAGAGTCAGGACTGCCTGGAAGGGCTCAACCCTGCTGTGTCAAGGCATGACCAGGGGCTGCAGCTCTAGGTGGCAGCCTGGTGCTTTCTCCCACTGGCCCCTGGCAAGCTGCTGAAGGGCCACACTTTGCTTCCACCCCCTCCCTCATCCCAGAAACGAAGTTGCCTGCTCTCTGTAACTTGTTCCTTGCTCATACAGCATTCTGAGGATGGGCTGGCTGTCTTCAGCTGTCTTTTCCTGGCCTGTGCTAGACTTACCTCCCTTCTTTCCCACAAAGGTCCACATGTCTCTCCAGCTGAGGAATGGTGCAACTTGGCTCCCCAGGCTTTTCAGAACATTCTTGGCTGTGTCCTTGAGGTGAAAAGAGCCTTCATCCTGGAACAAAACACAACCCTGCAGCTGAGGTCTAGCTTCTGACGGAGACAAGGAAAGTCTCCCATCAATACCAAAGAGGTACAGGGCCCACTCCTACCCTTGAACCAGTTGAGCCAGAAACCTTCACGAGCAGGTTCCTGTCTCTGTGCCATTAAGCCTGCCGGTGGCTTCATCATGATCCACAGAGAGGTCAAAGAAGTCACAGACTCCTGTTTCCTTGAGATCAAATTGTTCTCAACCACAGCCATGTGTTCAGCAACACTTCACACAGCTAAACCTGAATCCCTGAAGAAGGATAGTGCTGCTCACACAGCAGCCCAGAGCCAGCAGAGTCCACAGTGCCACCTGTAAAGCCTGGATCAGGGACCCAGATGGGACCCACCACATCCTTATATTAGCTTATGTCCATTCTCCACCTAACCTCTTGTTTATTGCTGCAAGCTGACACATCTGCTTTCTGTTCTCCTGCCTCGCTGGGCACACACCAGTATCTGTAGTAACAGAGAGGAATGAGAGGACAAGGGAGGTGATCCAGCGAGGGAGGCATAGCCCAGTAGGGATGTGACATTTAGCTCTGATAACATTCAGGAGGGAACTACCTAGACAACTTTAGGGCATCCTGACTCAAGACATCTTGACTTTTTTCTTTTGACACTAAAGTCACATACCTTAATGGTGAAGATCAGGATCCGACCTCGGGCAACCATGTTGAGGAAAAGTACCATGGCTTCATCTTCATGTGGAGAATAGGTGTCGAAGACCCTCTTGGCCATCACATGACCCTGTTGGTATTCAAATGTCAGACGCATCTTAAAGGCTGTATGGCCAGCACACGCACAATTACGGAAATCTGTTCTAGAAGCCTCAGAGCCTGAGTAACGATGAGTTACTTTTCTGGCATGCCAGGGAGTTAGTCCCCAGGCAAATTCAGCCCTCAGGCCTTCATGCATGACAGAAGGTGCACTGAAGTCCATGGGACAGGATTATCCAACCTCACAACTATTCTACTGCTTGCTCCCCAAGAACAGTGAGGCAAGTACAAAAGAAACAGTGCAGGGACCCTCTGGGTGACCACATTGTGTTCTGGAAATTACAGGCAAGCCAGCATCTGGGGAAGTCAATCCTGGCTGCCCTTTGCCTCATGCACCCACCCAATGGTTAAAGAGCAAGGACAAACACTGCCCAATAAGAAAGACAAATGCAGACACACAGGAATGCTTTACCGTAGCCTGATTCAAGACGATGACATGGATCCCTCTTCCCTGCTCCCGAGCCTCATCTTCCAGGACCTGCAAGTGCAAAAGTAATGAGAACCATATGCCAAGACCTTCTATTCCTTGTCCATTCAGCACAGTTGAGTCCCCAAACAAGGGGCAAGTCTCTCTCCTGTGACATTTCGGCTTTGCTCATGGCAGTGACGGATGCCAGAGTAGAAGACAATGTGGGACACCACCTCCACAGTCCTGTGGGCAGGAGGGGGATCCGCTCCTGACCTTTTTGCCAGCCACTGAATTGCTCTCACCACCCAGCTTGTGGCTTCACCCATTCAGCTCCATCCACCCTCTGTGCTCACAGGGACAATCAGCACCCGTCGCTTACTGTCGTCCCATCCACAGCCACGTAGACCTTTGACCGGCTGGAGTACACCTCGACGTCCAAGACCTTCTTGTTGCTGACAGGGTGCCTAGGGACCTCCACATTCAGCATCTCATCATCTACAGGGGAGAAATGCCCAGTTCCAATCAGCCAAGGCACCTCTGACTTGTCTCTGCTTGGTGCTAGCCCAGCCAAACCTCCAGGAGGTCATGCCCATCAGGTATCCCATCCCAGCAAACCATGGGTCATCTATAGGGGATAGCAAGTAAGGGAAATCCAAAATGGCAACAGGTCTGGCCCCAGCTATCCCACACAGACCTCTGCAGTCAAACGTGCTGAAGCATGGAGTAGACAGACCAAGAATGGGAACAGTCTTTTCTATTCATTTTTGTTAAAGCCACATGCACAGACCTGTCTGTTGTGCTGCAGCTGGTCACGAGTTTGCTTCAACTTAAAGAAATTAATTCTCTCCCTCTGGTTTCCTTGCTTTCAAACAAAAGCAAGATGCTGCCCCTCACCGTAGTCCTGTGCAGACTCCTCTTCCTCCTCATAAGCAGCCCTCCTGGTGTCCAAGATCAGCTTGATGTTCACAATTACAGTCACGAGCAGGAAGAGGACAGCACCTGTCTGCAATGCAGGAGGCTTTGCATTAGCAACTTGTAAGAAACAACCCAAGATCAGGCCACCTGCTTGGCAGAGGCTGCAGGGCACCCCAAGGAGATCTTGCAAGGGATCACAAGGATCTGTTATTTCCCGTGGTCTCTTCTGGGGGAAGGCAAAGAGAAAGAAATACAGATGACCAAGTTTTAAGGTGATATGCTTTCATCAGCTGAAGAGCACCAACTTCTTGATAGGAGATAGCTAACCCACTTCCAACATATTCCTGCTTCCAGATCTGTGAGCAGATTTCTCCTAAAATACTGCATCAAGGTGGAGGTTCTTTGCATGCAAAAAGCTTGGTAATTCAGAGTTACAGCTCCCCCAGTAACCTTAACTTCTGCCTTTCCTGCAGCATCACTACTCTTGTCTCTCCCTCTGCAATCAGAGGATGTATTCAGGGTGGCAGTCTGTGTATTCAAGGCAATCTGCCTGAAAGAGGCAGCACCAAGCAGGACCAGCAGCTGGGTCTGGCAAGGCTGGCTCAGTCAGAGCCACTGATAGAGGCTGAGCTGCTGTAAACCTGGCTACTCCACATCTGCAGCTCTAGTTTACATATTTTAAGCTCCATTTTCCTCTGTGTTTTCAGCCAAAGCAGTGCCATGAAGGAGAGAGATGACAGCAGACAGGCTCTAGCCTGTTGTCCTCAGCACAGCAAGCATTGCCTGCCTGAACAACCAGGCCCATTCCCAAAGTCTGGGGCACCCCAGGGGACACCGGACTGAGCAGTCTCCTTTCTCATGGAGCCCTTGTGAGCCTTCGCCCTCCCAGGCACATGCAAAACCTTCCCTCTTCCGCTCCCTCCCACAGAAACAAACTGCCAGATTTCACCGAGCTCTGCTCATCTCAGGACGGCCCCTTTTCTGCAGCTCGCTGCCATGCGGCCACAGACCCTCCCTGTCCTTACACCACCAGACACCCCCCAGGACACTGGCTCCACTGAGGATTAGCCGTTTTACAGCACAAGCGAGCAGGTCCATGGCTTTCCCAGACGCCAGCTGCCTCTGGGGCATAAGATCCCATTACTCAGCCTTATTTTCTCCGTCCACCTGTTGTCTCTTATACCAGGCTCGCTCTGCAAGCCAAACAGGGCAGGACTGGCTTCCCACTGCAGGCAGAGCCCTGCTCCACTCAGCACAGGTCCAGAACCAAGACAGGAGGAAATCAGTCAGGATTCTAGCTGAAAGCCTCCCAAGGATGCCTGGCTAATTTTATCTCCTGCCATAGCCACACAACAGGTCCACTTGCAACTAGAAGGATCTGCTAGATACGGCAGACCCTTCCATGCATGAGTGCAAAGCCACTGGAGGTAGCTTTTTGTGGGACAAGTTATGCTTCCCCAGCATGTTAGGTCACTCAGGACTGCCAGCAGACCCACCTCTGCCCACACAGCTGCTCCATAAGCTTGTAAACTCTATAGATCTTCCTCTTATCCTCCCTAATCCACCCCAGGCTGGTGGATGACTCACCTGGCACAGCTTCCGCAGCGCACGCTGGTTCATCAGTTTGTACTTCCAGGCAAGGTACCAGCTCCGCTTCTTGTGGGGCTTGATGGCAGGGTTGGGTTTCCACTCGTCCATAGTCACAGGGGTAGCCGCGTGGAGTGGTGGGGGTCAGGACACGCTCTGCTCCGCTCTCATGTCCATCGGGGCTCCCTGCCAGGACAAGATGGGCGTGGGGTGAGAAAGGCAAGCACCTTCAAAACCCCTCCCCAGCAAAGAGGGCCTGGCACAAGCAGTGGCCATGAATAGCACTCATGTACCACAAGCAGAAGCCCCACAGAGCTTTGCTGCCTGTCAGTGCCCCTAGTCCTGCAGGGAGCCATACCCGAGGCCAGGCATCACTGCAAGACTGTAAGCAGGGCAGTGGAAAGTCCTCGAACCCACAGACCAGTGAGGACCTCTGCTCCAGGCATCACCTTAGCAAGGCCATGGCACTGCAGTGGGCCCACTCCCACCCTCTAGAAAAACAAGAGGCATGAGCAGATGACAGGCCCCAGACTGGCAGGCATTACGGAGGTGCCATCGCTGGCCATAGCGGCCTGTGGGGTCCCGGGCGGGGGGATACCTTCTCTCTTGCAGCAATGAGGCCGTGAAGCAGCAGCATCCCCACTAACAGGGACACAGCTGGCCTAGATACAGAGACCAGAGCTGGGCCATAGCACTGCTGCAGATCCCGAGGCAGAGGGGCTGTCCCCAGAGGAGGCCAGGCTCCCCACACAACCCACCGGGCCTGGTGCAGGCTGCGGAGGCCGGGCAGAGCCAAGGGCCTGGTTGCAGCACAGGCCTCCCCCCACATGGTCAGGCAGGGTGGGAAGCATCAGTTACGGGGTGGGGACCGCACAGCA